GGGGGGGTCATCTGGAATGATGATTGTTAGTATAATGCAGTTTCTTAATAATGTTAAAGGGGTTAGATTTCAATCAAAAAGTATGTAGGAAGCATCAGTTATTATCTGAAACCTTTGATGTTTACCTTCATTTGTTTCAGTAATATTTTTGTGTAAAGATACATTTTATGTACAATCATAAGGCCCACTGGGTTAACCATTTGAACATTTTTTTTAAGATTCAGTGAAAACAGTTGAAGTAGGTGAGGGGTGGGGAGCTCACCCAAAATCTAAAGGGGGGTAGATGTCAATCAGAAAGTATGTTATTATCTTAAACCTTGGATGGGTACATGGCCCGGCCTTTGAAATGGGGTAGGGGGGGGGTCATCAAGAAAGGGTGAAAGTTTATTGTAACTCGTAACTCTTGAGAGGGGAATGGTGGAGTTCATTCAGAAAGCGAGTAGGAAGAATCAGTTATAATTATAATATATATCTAACTCTGTGTGGGGGGTGCATGGCTGCTCAGATTTTAGACTTCAGATACTATGTAATTCCAAATCCTTTGGGAGGGAGTTTTGTACAGGACGTTTGGTTAGAAATTCCTGAAGTAAAGTAAAACTTGCACTGCACTGTTTGAGATACTTGTCAAATTGGTAAAATAGGTCAACTCTTGTACACCCAACGCAAATGAAAATATAATTACAACCATAATTATGTTTTAGTTTGCAATTAATGTTACAGTTCTTAAGGTAAAGTAGATTCAATGTTACCAGTACAAGCCAATTGAGTGGCCGAGCATTTTGTGGCTATATTTTGGTATTCTCTTTCCAGGCCACAGTACATAGACCAGTGGAGACCATTTAGAAGATCCACAGCTTCCAATGAGATGACATATTATTTTATTTAACTTACAAGAGAGATGTGAAAAATGGCGATTCCCTTTGCAATTGAAGGTTAATTTGAAAAACTTACCAAATTTGAGAACATTTTAGTCAAGGTATGAAATAGTTACAGGACTGAGACAGCAGATACATTTTTTCAGCCTAGGCAACCATTATTTAGAAGACATTTCCAGTATATTGTTGTAAGAGTTGACGTTCTTGTTGACTGTGGAGAGAAGTTGGGGTCTTCTGGTTCATCAGTATTTTTATCTTTAGTTTTTTATGTTTTATCAGTGAATGTTTCTCACACCTAAAGAGGTATTAATTTTAATTGTAATGTTTTTTAATGCAAGTTTGAATTATTTAAAATAATTTTACATTTTAGTTCTTTACCTGTGGAAATTTTTCTGTAAAATTTTGATTTAGAGTCAAATGCTGCTAATTGTAATTATTTTGTTGCTGCACAGTCGATACTGTCATGCTTTTCTATGTAAATTTATTTTATCAGCTGGGTGGAAAAAATTGAACAACTGGTTATTGAAAAGTGGAGGAACTGTCACAGTGTCAAATGATTGCACACATGAATGCAGAACAGTGGAATGGTAGATTTGATAAAGGAGTCATTTTTATCCAGATGAATGTATAGTCAATATTTATAACCAATTTGGCAAAATAATGGTTGTTGTTCAAGTGCAAAAAGTATAAAATGAAAAAAAAAAAGGTTAAATTCAAATCATACTCAGTAGAACAATGTTTTCTGCAATTTTGAAGAAGCTGTACTTGATGACCAGCATTTTGTAACATTTCTGGGTGAAGATGTATTTAATGTACAATTATGAGCCCTACTGCTTTTTGTACTTTATCTTATATTCATTGAATACTATTGGAACATTGTGATGGCTTATAAGCATGCTGTTGTAGTATTTATTCCGTGGCCCTCTGTGTCCATGTCCTAGGAAGAGGTTGGTCTTAGATGGCATGGAAAAAAGTTGTCAGTTTTCCTAGGTTTATTACAATGAAATTGTTGATAATATATTAATGCAAGTTATTACATTCATTTGGCTGCCTTTGAAACTGTCTTTCATTAGTGATATGTCCATGTTAAATATACAGTATTCAGATACAATATGAAGTAAAAGATTAACTAGAATAGAACTTTTGTTTTTCATTCTTGAATTTCCCAACCAAGTGCAGCTTTTACAATCTTGAGGTGACAATTCGAAACTGTTTGGTGCAGAGTCCCATTCACGGAATGTTCAGAAATTGTAATTTGTGGATAAAAATTTCTGAAATCACTGTTACACATTGTATGTAATAACATCTTTTATGCAATGACTGCAGCACACGGTTGCTTCCCAAATGATTCAATCTGAATCAATATGTGAAACAACAAAAACAAAATTATGCTCAGTCACAATGGCTACCTTCTAAGAATATTGTAGCTTAAAAGCTTATTTCTGAGCAAAATATTGCTCAACCCACATTTGGCAGACATCCTCAAAAAACTTCAAAAGTTACATGAAAATAGCAATATTTACTTAAATTTGTAAGCTTTTCAGACCAGTAAGTGGATATATATATATATATATATATATATATATATATATATATATATATATATATATATATATATATTGTAAATATGTTGTAAATGAAGTTAAACTACTATAATAGTTGATGGATGGATAATTATTAAAAATACTACAATGACATAACCTTGTCTTTTTTTTGCAAACATGTTTTGCACTTCAAAACTTTTTAATAGACATGATAAAACTCTAGAATGAAATCTTAGACTTGGAAGTTTTTACAATAAGCAATATTATGTATAATCTGGTAAATATTTTCAAAAAATCTTACCTAATATCCAGACATTTTACTTTTACTTATATTCCAACATTTCAATTAAAAAGTATACAAAGCTTGCAAACATACAGACACCAAGAAACAAGGCAGCAAAAGTTAAACTGTGAAATATTCAGACTACAGAAAAAAAGTGCACAAAATAATGTTTTTGCAAATTTTGATGCACTGTTATATAATAGCATAATCACTCTTACCCTCTTGCATAATGCACTACAGGTAACATGAAAAACTGGCAACTGATTCAGTTCCATGAGATATAAAAGGCCCCGAAGAAATTTGGTACTTTATAGGGAGAACAGTGTCATTCGGTTCTATTTAGAACTATAATTCAGCTAGTCAAAATTCTAATTTCAAGAGGGGAATACTAGTGTGATTTTTTTTCAGAAATCAGGATCCCCCTGACCCCTTCTCCGCCCCCTAAATCCACCACTGGTAATTTATGGCTAACGCAATGAGGACGGCAAAGAAAACGGCACATACAGAGGACAATATTAGTAATTCAAGCCTGTCAAATCTGTTGTCGAAATGCCGTTTGTTATCTTCGGCCGAGCTGCGTATTTCACACACTATTGTATCTATCTCCTGTATGCTAAAGATGGATTTCTGTACCTTTTCCACTTCATTTGGATCTGCACCAAGTGCTAGAACAGAAGCACAGGCGATTTCCCACTTCGTGCAGAATTTCTCCATGTCTTGGATCCCAAATGTGGCAGAATGCTGTATATAGTTCCTGACATTCTTAAGCCGCTGGATGTGGTTGATGAAACCTTGTGTTGTTTGTGGAGAGGAAGGTAAAGTGGCATTTTCTTTGAGCGCTGACCATTTCAGGTTGGCTTTGTCTGGGTGAAGATTTCTTATCAATAACACCAGCAATGTAATGTCAAACATTTCCACATCTGTATGACCAGAGGCAGGGTACAACAGATTCCACTGAGAAGCATATATGACTTTTGTTTTCTTGAGTTTCTCAAGTTCCCTTATCACGTCATGCTTACCAAAAAACTGAAGCACTGCATCTTTATCACTGATGTGCTCACCATTAGTGATGCTAGGCCTAACAACATCCTTGAGAAAGAAAGTTCTTATGACTTTTGTTCCAAGTTCAATAACGAGATAACTCAGCCTTGCAAACCTCTGTGTATAAACAGATGACACATCTGGGGCATTCGCACCTACTAATAGAAACATATGATAATGATCAATGCTTTTTGTACAAGAATTTTATAGGGAAAGAGAGATAGAGTAGTATACTAGTGTGTGTGTGTGTTTGTGTAAAATATACGGCAACCACCACTGCATTATGGGAGAAATATGTAGTCAGTGAAATGTACTGTCATATGAACAGGGGGTACATGCTAGTAACAATACGCTATTTCTTTATATTGAAGATTTGTAAGTTAAAAGATAAAAATAGAAGTAAAATAAGAATAATGCTTGTACTTCTTAGCCTAAGCTAAGCACTACCAAATACAAAATTACCTGAATCACTTGCTTGTACTGCCTGTGCACTCACTGTAAGAATAAGAAGGATTACAAGAATATGCGCATGATGAACCATAATTAGCAATTAATAATATACATGTAATTTAAGTATGAAGAAACTTATTAATAGATATGTGTTGTGAGCAAAAGGTAACCTGCTGTACATTTACCTTCTGCACCGCAGGTAAATTCTCAAAATACGACCAGGGCATAGTATTTATTTTTGTCATTAAATGTTTTCCAAATATGCTTGGGCATTTGTATTTAAATTAAAAGTTAAAACAATTCTAGCCACGTGCATGGCTGGGTAATAAATCTAATATTATGACAGTTTATATGAAAAATGTTCGGCACATAGAATTGCAACAGTTGTTGCAACACAGACGTTGATGCCCATGTAAAACTCATATTGTTGGAATGATTAAAATATAAATTGCATGATTTTGTGGGAGATATTTATATTGTTCTAACAAAGGCGATGGGCAAAATTTGCCAAGGGGAAAAATGCTGATATATCATTTTCGGGGATTATAAAAAATACCTTGGGGTATTTATCAAGTTACATTATTTTAAAATATATAAAGTTTGGTTTATTGGCAACAATTTGAAATATTAATTCTCTTCATGTAAATCTTAGTACATCACCCAATATGATTAGTTGCATTTACATCAGTTTAACACCGATTTCAATGACTACATTACCCCTAATTATATTCAGGAACAATATCTGTTCACAGCAAAACTACCTAAAATTTTAATGCTTACCTGAAAACCAAACATGATATGGTGTCACATCAATTGGCATTTCAGTGCCCTCTACAGATCTACATATCTCATCGTTTTCTTGGACGTCTTCTGCTTTTATTGGAATATCTTTTCCTTTGTCTTTTAACCGAATGCAAAAGCCTAACTGCATCCTGGGACAGTACGTGTCCCGAAGAGTTGACAGTTCTTTTTCAACGGTTTCCCGTGCGTTGGAGTATATGTCAGGTTTTGGTTTGTTTCCAGTAGCGTTTGTTATCATCATTCTCATGGCCCTTTCTTCAATGGCGAGATGGAGCACCGACTGTTCGTCTCCCAAACGGAAGGAGGCATGGTCAAACCCAACAACTGGAATGTTATGTTTATATTCCTGAGCTCTATACTTCCTAAGAAGACGGATGATCAGAAGATGAAACAACCCGGTAGGAAACAGAATGTGAGGGAATGCGATAAGCAAATATTTCTGTGGATCCGTCTCAGACAAGGCGTTATTTACACTGTTATTGGATACCAGCATACTNCACTTACCTGTTTTTTGAAAACCTTGTCCAACGTAATATCATATAAATTCTGTATTTCTCTCATTTTTTAGAAACTTGGGACTCCGTTTCTGTTTCTGTCCTCAAAAATCAACAGACGAAGGCACAGATACTAACAAACGAGATTTAAACGAGAGTAACAATTAAGCGTAACAGAGATAGGCATCCATTGTTCTCTGGGTTCTATTCATTCCAACCAATGAGAGACCGTAATACGGGCTCCGCCTCCACGCGTGTAATCTCCTTCTGTTATAACTCCTTGGTGAAATGTACTGTCATATGAACAGGGGGTACATGCTAGTAACAATATGCTATTTCTTTATATTGAAGATTTGTAAGTTAAAAGATAAAAAATAGGAGTAAAAACAAGAATAATGCTGGTACTTCTTAGCCTAAGCTAAGCACTACCAAATACAAAATTACCTGGATCACTTGTTTGTACTGCCTGTGCACTATCTGTAAAAATAAGAAGGATTACAATAATATGCGCATATGATAAACCATAATTAGCAATTAATAATATACATGTAATTTAAGTATGAAGAAACTTATTAATAGGTATGTGTTGTGAGCAAAAGGTAACCTGCTGTACATTTACCTTCTGCACCGCAGGTAAATTCTCAAAATACGACCAAAAATATTTATTTTTGTCATTAAATGCTTTCCAAACATGCTTGGGCATTTGTTTTTAAATTAAAATTTTGTGGGCGATATTTATATTGTTCTAACGAAGGCAATGGGCAAAAATTGCCAAGGGGAAAAATGCTGATAAGATCTGAAAAGATATCATTTTTGGGGATTATGAAAATACCTTTGGGTATTTATCAAGATACATTATTTTAAAATATATATGGTGGCATTTAGTTTGGTTTATTGGCAACAATTTGACATTTAAATTCCCTTCATGGACATCGTAGTACATCACCCAAGATTAGTTGCATTTACATCAGTTTAAGTATCACCGATTTCAATGACTACATTACCCCTAATTATATTCAGCAACATAATGTCTGTTCACAGCAAAACTACCTAAAATTTTAATGCTTACCTGAAAACCAAACACGATACGGTGTCACATCAATTGGCATTTCAGTGCCCTCTACAGATCTACATATCTCATCGTTTTCTTGGACGTCTTCTGCTTTTATTGGAATATCTTTTCCTTTGTCATTTAACCGAATGCGAAAGCCTAACTGCATCCTGGGACAGTACGTGTCCCGAAGAGTTGACAGTTCTTTTTCAACGGTTTCCCGTGCGTTGGAGTATATGTCAGGTTTTGGTTTGTTTCCAGTAGCGTTTGTTATCATCATTCTCATGGCCCTTTCTTCAATGGCGAGATGGAGCACCGACTGTTCGTCTCCCAAACGGAAGGAGGCGTGGTCAAACCCAATAACTGGAATGTTATGTTTATATTCCTGAGCTCCATACTTCCTAAGAAGACGGATGATCAGACGATGAAACAACCCGGTAGGAAACAGAATGTGAGGGAATGCAATAAGCAAATATTTCTGTGGATCTGTCTCAGACAAGGCATTATTTACACTGTTATTGGATACCAGCATACTGGGCACGACGAATCTTCTCTTTCCAGACCCGGGCAGAGGGTTTTCAACTGACTGGGATATTTCTAACATCAAGTCGAAATGCAGCATAAGTTGAATGATTTCAGTCTTTTTTTCGGCCATTTTGATTTGTTTTAGATATTCATCAAATACCTCCTCATTGAGCACTCCTCTTTTCAGATCGTCTTTCAGGAGATCTAAGTGACTGCCTCCAGGTTGACTGCTGGCATTGGTCATGATGGCAGAAAACACAACTGCTAACCAAAGTGGATCTATTATGACGACATTTTCCAGTCCATCCACTTTGAAGTGTAGGATGTCGCCTTGATGGTGATGGTAAGGAATGAATTTTTCTTGTAATTCTTCATCAGGGAGTCCTACCCTTTTCGCCATTTCCCTCAGTTTTTCAATAGTTATGATGGGTGTTTCTTCACTCTTCTCTGCCAAATTCATTTCCAATTTAATCCAATTCACTGAAAGATGTTGAACAGTAGCAATACTGTTGCTGCTATATCCGCACAAGTCTTCGATTGCTCTTTTTATTTCAGCAAACTCCCTATCATCTTCGGCCAAGTTGCTTACGGCAAAACATCGGTAGACGTGGTCCTTGAGTACCTGATTGTCGTCGAGACACTTCTTGAGTTTATCAAAAATCTTTTCAACGTCACCCTATGAATAAAAACTAGTAAAGACATTTTTGTAGTTGTTGTTCATTACCATATAATAATGTTAAATTGTCAGTGTGAAAGAAAACATTTACCGGGATGTGTGTATGTGTATGTGTGTATATGATATAGTCCACTTTGTTCAAGTTGAGAAATGGGGTATGTTGCAATGAACCTATAAAATTAAGATGGAGTACAGGGGGCAAGGAACACCCTTTTCCCCAAACATTAAATCATGCCATCCACAAATAGTCACATAGTGAAAAGTTTCTAAATAATTAAGTCACTCGTCAGGAATCGTGATATGGTTGAAGGGATACAAATTATACATAGAATAAGTACGGTAGTTATTGAATAATTGTGATAAGAAAAGCGTTTTCACCTGTGGGCATAACATGTCCTTATGAGTTCCAATAATCAAGACGTATGGCATGGCATTTTTGTCTTCTTCCCTCAATTTTCCAATAGTGTGCATATGGATTGAGTTTAACCAAAACATAATAAACTCTGAAAAATACATATAAAGCCTTGAGGTTATTGCAAAGATGAATATTAATCAGTGTTATCTCCTCAGCATTGCTATAAAATAGGGCCAATTAATATAATAATAATAATAATAATAATAATAATTATAATAATGTTTCTTATTGGGCGGCTTACAATGGATAATATAACTAATATCGTTAAAATTACTACAATATTTAAATCTAAAACACTCATCGGAACAATTTAAAATTAACACTACTAAAAATTCAATGATATATATATAAATATATATTAAGAGCAATAGAGAGATTTAAAAATGTGGGTCTTTTAATAAAGAAATTACACACAGTTGACAGGCCATTATTTACATGAGGGCCCTGAGTAGCTTATACATGTAAAGATATATACATAAAGCTCAACAATACCTTTCAGCGTCTTCTCTCCCCTGTATACAGGGATTTTATCATCGAGGTCCTGGTCAAGTCGGAATACCAACAAGTAGATGATCCGTTCTGAGAGGAACGTTTGGTGCGTGGTGTAGTAGACATCCTGACCTGCAAAATCCCAAATTGTGACCTGTTTCTCTGGCTCCACATCTTCTCCTCGGGCAATTTTCTCAATTTTTTCCAATAGCTCCTTCTCAATATCATCTAGATGGTCCCTTTCTGCCACTGCGATGAATACAATAAGCTATGTCCAAACTAACTGATTTTAGCATAATGCATACTGTAATGTATTACAATGAGTGCATATTTATTCAAGTCATCATATTTATACTGAGTATATTGTATAAATATTGTATAAAAATAAATAAATTAGATTGAAAATGCATGTAATAAGTATAATTGGTATCAAGCGCCTGATTGAGTTTTCAGCTTGTGTGCCTTCTTCAAGGGGGGGGGGGGGGTTTGAGAAAGAGAGAGAGAGAGACTAGACCTTAATCTTAATAGACATGCTTTTAATCTAATTTATTTCATCTGTCAGGGACTGTTCATACATCGACATATCGTCAACATTCTTATACTACTCATGTTTTCTTCCCCAGAGGTATGAGATCCACTTTCACCTTTGAAAGGGACTGTACAATAAACAGTGCGGTTAAAATAAAACTTTTTAGCATTAAAAAGTATTGTAATTATTGACAAAATTTGAATGTGTTTAGTGTCAATTAACTTTGTGAAACAGTTATCAAATACATTAGAAGCTTTCGTCTGTTTCGTCTGAAGGTTTATCGGTAATTTGCGAAAAAAAAAAAAAAACTTTTCTTAAAAATGTATCCTCTCTGATGAATACAAGTGGGTAAGCTCAAAACATAACGGGGTGATAAACACTGAATGTTTTTACATTCAGTAAAATCAATTAAAATTGTAAGGTAAAGTCAATTTCAATGTAACATTATTCATACAGTTTGATGAAAATAAGAATGCAGGAACTCACATACTTAATCGACAAGCTAGAACAAATCTCGAACATTCTGAGCAATAGACGAGAATCTTGTTTTACTAGTACATGTACACTACTTACCTGCTGTTTTGTCAGGAGAGGCAGGTGATTCACTGTCATCAGGGGGAGCGGCTGTAGAATAAAGAGAAGAATAATATCAAACACC